GGTGCCGGTTTGGACAGTTGCGTTTTTCAGGTGTCTGCACTTTCATTTCTTCATTTTCGGTAATTTTGGCAGCTGCTGGAAGCTCAAAAACTCCCAACTGCAGGGCACGAAAGTACCGTACCTGCTGATGGTACAAAGGAAAGGGCAGCACGGCGCCGACGGCCACCGCCAGAATGGCCATGCTGGGATGGGCGACATTTACCAGGTGCCGGTACAGGCCGTCGATGCTGTCCGATTCAGTGTTAAGGCGAAGACCGCAGGAGGAGGGCTGGTCGAGAAAGTCCAGACTCAGCTGGTAGCCGGTGGCAAAGATGACGGCGTCGATGGGACAGGAGAGAGTGGTTTCATCTGGGAGGACCACAACTTCGACAGTGCTGGCGGTAAAACGTTTTACATCACCGCGGATCTGTCGAACATTCGCCGGCAGCCGGTGGAAGACTCGTTCGGCGGCGTTTCGATGAATGAACAGCACCTCCCTGGCGACGGTGCTCACCTCCAGGCTGATGTCCAGTCCTGAGGGGCCGCCGCCGATGACGGCCACTCGCTGGCCGGCGTACGCCTCTCGACTGCGGTAGCTGTGGGAGTGCACTACAGAGCCGGTAAAGTTGGAGAGAGTCTCAATCAGATCAGCTGGCCACTTTGGTCGACTGTACCGACCGGGACAGAGAAGGAGAATGTCAAAGTGGCGGGTGAAGGAGATTGGCTTGGGAAGTTGCTGGTTAACAGTCACCTCCCAGACGTTGTCTGTTTGGTTGCGGGCCACCTTGAGCAGTTGATGGGAGAAGGAGATGAAAGGACGAAGGGCAAAGTGGTCGGCGTAGTCGTGCAGGTACTGAAGCACCTGGCTGTGGTGTAGGTACGATTCGCCGGCAGTGTTACGCGTAGCTGGAAAGTCCGGAAACTCCATTATCTGCATTGGAAGGTTGGTCCTGGTTTAATAGAAAAGATAAAGTTGAAAATAAAAAAAGTTTCACAAATTAACCCCTTACTTTAAATCTCGATACATGCTCGAATGTACAAATGACTCTGTTACGAGTTCAGTCTGCTCGACGTAGTTCCAAGTGCCACCGAGGCAGTCCGCCTGCTCATAGCAGACTACCGGCTCAAAGTGCAAGGAATCACAAGCAAAGTGACGAAGGGCACAGAGGCCGGCGGCTCCGGCGCCGATGATGCACACCGATTGTTTGCTCATTTTTACTGAAAAGTGAAAAGGTGATGAGGAGCACACAGCTTGAGCTTAAAGTTTCAGCGACGTAAGCAACAAGTGCAAATGACGCACCAAACTAGTTTTTTCTTTCAGATTTATCAGAGCGACGAATCAGTAAAACTTGTTGATTAGAAAGAAACTTGTTGATGAGTGCACTGGCACTGAGAGGGAATCATGGGAAAACATTTTTGTTTCTATAAAAAGACAGCACTCATCTTTTTTCACCACTTCACACCAGCCCACTGAACCAGGCGTGCTTGAGAGCCGCCTTGGCGGAGGGCCTCTTCGTCACCTTCGGCTCCAGCAGCGCCCTGATCACCAGCTGACAGTCCCGGGAAAGGTGCAGCCGGCCGCTGATGCGGTAGTCACCGGTGAGCTGCCGCCTGGCGAGCTCCTTCGAGCGAATGTCGTAGGCGCCCTCAAAGGGCCGATAGCCGTGCAGCAGCTCAAAGAGACAGACGCCCATGGAGTAGATGTCCGCCTTCTTCGCGTCGTACTCCTTCAGGCCGCCCTCGCCGCGGGCCAGAAGTCGCAGCTCCGGGGCGAGGTACTGTGTCGAGCCGCAGACGGTGCTGCAGAGGATGGGCACCTCAGCGTCGCTCTTGCTGAGCACGGAAAAGCCAAAGTCGGTGATCATGGGCTCCAGGTCCTCGTCCAGCAGGAAGTTCTCCACCTTCAGGTCGCGGTGGGCGACGTTGAGGGAGTGCAGGTACTCCACGCCGGTCATCAGGTGGTGGAAGAGCCGCCGACCGAGGGGCAGCTCCGGCAGGCGGCCCTCCTCGAAGTGCCGGGCAATGTAGGCCTCCAGGCCGCCGTTGACGGCGTAGCGCATGAAGATAAAGCCCCGAGAGCGGGTCTTGTAAACGTCGTAGGCGGCGCAGATGTTCCGGTGGTGCAGCTTCGTCATCAGCTTCATCTCCTGCTTCAGGAACTTCTCCGCCCAGCCGCGGTGCAGCTCCTCCAGGCGGAAGACCTTGCAGGCGAGCTGGACGCCCGGCAGGCGGCTGTTAGTTGCCAGGTAGACGCTATTTTTTCAAAATGAAAAAGAGTGTTCTTATTTGAGTAGCCTTTGCAAAAACAAAAAAGCAAATTAATTCTTACGTGGAGAATCCACCTTCGCCAATCTTCTTGCCCAGCTCGTAGCCGTTGTTCTTCAGCCCGGGCGGCAGATCGTTGAGGGCGACAGTGCCTCCTGGTTCACTTCCGATTGACTTGTACAGTACCACAGTGGACACCTTTTCGCTGTCTGGCAAAGCAAGGCTTTTCCGAAGAGGAGGAACACCCTGCTTTACAGTTGGGGGATGTGTTGTTGGGGAAAGTGGTGCTGGTAGTGATGGCGATGGTGATAATGCTGGTGATGGTGATGGTGGTGTTGGTATTGCTGTTGCTGCTGTTGATTCTGGAGCTGGAGCTGTCTGAAGTGGAAGCTTTTTTAGTGGTGAAATGACTTTTGTAACCTGTGGAACAACTTTTGCTGGCGATGGTGGTGGTTGTTTCACTTGAGGTGGTTGTCTTTTTGGCATTTCAGCAGCCTCGTTAACAGTCTGCTTGAATTTGCCCTGGTTTGTGCCCATGTGTCTTTCAAACAACGACTGTAGGGTGGAATACATTTCATTTTATAGCTCCTAAAAAGTTCTAGAACAGCGTTTATTATCCAACACTAGTGAAAAGTTCTGACAAACTGTTTGTTTTGTGTAATAAAAGCAATGGTAATAGATAAAGATGATTTACTCAAGGAAAGATTGAGATAGAAAAAAGAGGGAAAAATGGAATTTCTGTGGATGCTTGGTTTGAAGATGCTCTTTAAGACCTACTTTCGATTCAAACATTTTTTGACATATAGAGCATTGAAATTATTTAGAATTGCTGCGAATCAGTTGATGCCTCTTGTGAATCAGTTTGTGCTTCTTTAAATGTGCTCTCTGTTTAAATGATTTAGAGCACGTTGTGCATTCGTAAGCGCGAACACCAGTATGAACTAGCTGATGTCGCAGAAGAAGAGATGGTTTACAGAAGCGTTTTCTGCAAAGCTGGCACTTTAAGCTTTTGGATTTTTTTGGCCAACGGTTCGGCCGTTTTTCCCCAGAGCGACTGTTTGAGCTAATGTTGACCACAAGTTCAGTTTGCTGAGATTCTACTAAATTAAAAGTGTTAGTCAAAACAAAAAATGAATGCAAGCAAACAACTCACCATTAACTACTGAATCGTCATCATCAATTTCAGTAACCTTATCAGATCTCAACGCAAACCTGCTTGGTTTGACGTTCTCCTGGCTGGACATAGCTGAATCAAACGAGGACTCTTCTTCAGTCTTTTCCTTCAGTTTTGAATTTTCCTCTTTGATAGCTTGTAGTTCGTCCTCAACGCGTTTCTTTTCAGCACCAGTTTTACCCAAAGCGTTTCGCAGGTTATAAATTTCAGAATCTTTTCCCTTGAGCTCTGCTTCCAATTGAGGTATTATCAAGTCTTTTTCTTGGAGCTCTTCTCTAAGCAGATCTTTCTCATTGATCTCCAGGGTTTTTGAGAACAGCTCCTTTTGAAGAGTGGAAATGGTCTTATCCATTTTCTGCACAGCCTACAATGTAAAAACATTTATAAGTAAAAAGGTCATAAACATTCTTCATGTTTTTCTCTTACCTTATCCTTTGCGCTCAAATTGTTCTTTAACTCAGCGATTGTTGAATCTTTTGATTTGACTTCATCTGTCATTGATTCAACTAGTGATTGCAGGTTGGTTTGTTCGTGAAGAGAGATAGTCAATTCAGAAATCTTTATGTCGGCGCTCTCCAGCTGCACTGACATCGTTTCAATTTGTGCCTGCATCTTTGTCTGCTCCAAAACGCTGTTTGTCAGATCAGAAATTTTCATTTCAGCGCTCTCCAGCTGAACGGACATTGATTCAATTTCCGAGTTTGTTTTGATGACTTCTTCCTCCTTCTGGAACAATGACAACTTTGTTTGATCAAGAACACTGCGCATCTGTTCGAGATTTCGACGGTACACTTTTTCATTATAATCAAGTCGCTCTTCAAGAATAGCTCGAATGCTGTCGATATTAGCTTCTTTATTAGCGATAATTTCCTCATAGAGGTCTTGCGTTTCTTTAGTCGCGTCGAACATCTCTTTTCGAAGGGCAATCTCCTGGGCTTGCTTTTGTCGCTGAATTTCATCGATGTTTCCCTCCAACAGGCTAATTCGCTGAAGCAGCTCTTCGTTGTTGTTAATGCAACATAAAGACAGCTCTGATGCCTTTTCTTTGATATGCGCTGATAAGTTTTGCACTT